CATTGACTACGACTAGAAAGACGCGGGAAATAGTCTTCGGATCGCTCACGAAATTCATGCGTTATTGGATTATGTTTCCATTCGGACATTATTAATGTTAGGACCAAATTTTGGATGCAGGCCGGCCCAATGGGGAATGTGATTTATGGGCCAATGATAGCAACGGCCCAATGGGAATTTTGGATGCAGTCCGGCCCAATGGGAAGCGGATGAGGATGTGATTGATGGGCCAATGAGAGCAACGGGGAATGGTGGTAAAGTAGGTAGCGACCGAAGAATATGCAATGAATTGGATGGTGCTCAACGAAACGTAATAATAATAATAATGTCCCATCTCCAATCACAGGTATTATTGGGCCCACTCCTTTTCCATATTGGGCCTCCGATTCCATTTCTAATCACTTTATGGGCCCCCACTTGATTTTGACTCTCCATCTCATTATATTATTTATTATTTAATTTTAACAGCACCTGAAAATCAAAATTCAAACTTCAATTAGTTAAAATATATATTATCGACCAAAATACAGGTAGAGAGATGAGGGTGTATTATAATTGCTTACGTGGCTTGATGATAGTGCTAAAGTGAATGCTGACTGGGCTTAAAATATTATCCATTTTTTAAAAACTGAAATTTTCTGGACAACTTACACGTGTCTCACCGCTTGTGGATTCCACGTGTCACAAAATTACCTCCTTACCCCAAAATTATTCATTAATTTCGAAATTGACCCACGGAGGTAAAATTTCTCAGAAAAGGACCCACAGATTTTTATATAATTAAATAAACAGAATTTCTTAATTTTTGGTATATCATTATTATGTCATCTTCTTCCTGTATGACACACTCTCTGCTTTAAGCTTCAAGCTTCTTCCTCTCTCTGTCTCTCTGTCTGTGTCTCTGTCTCTGTCTCTCTCTCTCTCTCTCTCTCTTTCTGCACTTTCCTTCTCCCCTGGTTTCTTACTTCACACAAAACGCATTTGAGTCTTTCATTGCGTGCATTATTCTAATCTTTCCCACAGAGTTTTTGAATCGATTTTCATTTCTCTTTTGGTTTTGCGAACATCGAATTCAGTGTTCTCAAGACAAGATTTCGAATCTTTTTTGTATTTTTATTTGCAAGAACAAAGCAGATTTTAAAGAATCTGAATCTCTTTTTCTTTTAAACTACATTTCATCGCCGTTGTTCTACTTGGGGGAACTTCAAAGAATTCCATACTTTCTTTTTCTTTTCGTCTTTTTGTATTCAAAATTCTTATTTCCAATAAAAAGATACACAACTTTGGGGGCTCCCCATTATAATCTCTCTGTAATTTCCTCCGTTTAGATATACAAAATGCTGGGAACTGCGTTGCAGTTTGGGGGAATCAAAGGTGAAGATCGGTTTTATATTCCGGTTAGGGCACGGAAGAATTATAATCAGGAAAACCCATCAAGGAGAGCTACCAAGACCGATGAAACTGAGACTCGATCCACTAAACTTGTGGCTTCTACTATAAACACTTCTAACCCATTAATTTTTCAGCCTAAGAACAACTTGGAGAGATTCTTGGACGCCACAAGGCCTTCAGTTCCTGCGCAGTTCTTCTCTAAGGTGAATGTTTGAATCAAAGGAAGTTTATTACATAAGGGGTTGCTCGTAAATTTTGAGTTAATATCCAAATTAGGACCATACCCTTAATTTGGTTTCTTTTAGCCCTTTAATGGGTTGCTCATGTTTTTGTTTTTTTCAGACAAGTATGAGGGGTTGGTGGTCTTGTGGTTTTGGTTTTCAACCTTATTTCATTCTGAATGATCTGTGGGAGTCTTTCAAGGAGTGGAGTGCTTACGGTGCTGGAGTTCCTTTAGTACTTAATGGAGGTGACTCCGTTGTTCAATACTATGTTCCATATTTGTCTGGTATCCAAATATATGGCCAACCTGCTCCAATTAGATCAGATTCTAAGTCCAGGTACTTGAATTCTTCTGCTTGAAATCAACAATATCAGAGATCATGAATTAATGGTTCTTTATATTGGTAGGGTGTGTAGTGAGGACAGTGATCTGGACTCTTCTAGAGATACAAGCAGCGATGGAAGCACTGAATATGAATTTGGAAACAGCTGCAACTTTTCTAAAGAACAGTGGGTTCATCACCGTTTAGCTTGTGAAAACACACTTAAAATGAGAAAGACGTCTTTAAGTGATGAACATAGCATGATAAAAGAAAGGGTTTCAAGTGATGATCCTCGGAGTGTTTTGCTGTTTCAGTTTCTTGAGCTAGATCCTCCTTATCAACGTGTACCACTGGCTGATAAGGTTAGCTAGCAGGTTTATTATTTGTTCATTTGGTAGTATTTTGAGAGCCGTATTAGTTTTTACTGGTGTTGTTTTATGATATGACAGATATTTGATCTTGCCTATCAATATCCTGGTCTGAAAACTCTAAGAAGTTGTGATATACAGGCAGCCAGTTGGGTCTCTGTAGCTTGGTAATTGTTTGCTGAATCCATGTTATTAATGGCTTTCTAGAACATGCTGTTCATTTCATCCGCTGGAATTGTAGGTACCCAATATACCGTATACCCACTGGTCCGACATTAAAAGATTTGGATGCTTGCTTTTTGACATATCATTCCCTTTCCACACCCATTAGAGGTAATATGGCGCTTCTTAGTTTCTTCTGGTTTGGCCTGTAGTTTTCAGTAATCTTCAAGACACATGCTTTCTAAGCTCCATGGTGAGAGGGGAGCGAAACATTTCTTATCAGAGTGTGGAAACCTCTCCCTAGTATATGCGTTTTGAAACTGTGAGGCTGATGACGATATGTACCGGGTCAAAGCAGACAATATCTGCTAGCGGTGGGCTTGAGCTGTTACAAATAGTATTAGAGCAAGACACTGGATGGTGTGTTAGCAAGGACGCTGGGCCCTAAGGAGGGTGGATTGAATGAAACATTCTTTATGAGGGTGTGGAAACCTTTCCCTAGTAGACGCGTTTTAAAACTGTGAGGCTGACGGTGATACATAACAGGCCAAAGCGGACAAATATCTTCTAGCGGTGGGCTTGGGCTGTTATAAATGGTATCAGAGCTAGACACCGGGCGGTGTACCAACGAGGACGTTGGGTCCCCAAGGGGGGTGGATTGTGAGATCCCACGTCGGTTGGAGAGAGGAATGAAACATTTCTTATAAGGGCGTGAAAACCTCTCCCTAGTAGGCGCGTTTTAAAAACCGTGAGGTTGACGACGATATGTAATGTGCCAAAGCGGACAATATCTGCTGGCGGTGGGTTTATGATGTTACATCTATTCACTCGTTTTGTCGACTGAATAAACATATTCACTTCTGCTGAGCCAACCTATAGATGAATTAGAACAAGCAATCATAGCCAGAGTTCTTCCAACATCTCATACTCATCATAAAAGTGTTGTTGTCATCTTAAAAGTGTAAAATCAAACATTAAATTGACATATTTTCGAGGTGATTTAGAGCATGAAAAAAGTGATTCTAGCCATTACAAAATCACTCCCAAACGTGCCCTTAAAAGATTGTTTGTTTGGCTTGTTCTCTGCAAGTGGTGATCGTTCTATTTGCTTCACAGGTAATGTGCATGGCCAGACAGTGATATATTCAAATGACGTTGATGGTACCCCAAAGATGTCCTTGCCTGTTTTTGGAATGGCTTCTTACAAGCTCAAAGGCTCAATTTGGGCGCAAAATGGTGTCAACGAGCATCAAATGGCAAGCTCCCTGATGCAGGCAGCAGACAAATGGCTGAAGCACCTTCAGGTCAATCAACCCGATTTTCAGTTCTTTGCATCACATGGGACATACTGGAGATGACAAGAGATGACTCAAAAGATGTTTCTACTTCCACACCGTCCAGTCAAAACTACCAAAAGAACGAATCCGTGCCTTTATCGACGACCAGACCTGCACTCAATACCAGTAGTGCTACATTTTGATTTTGGCTGGTTTGTTCTTCCTGGGAATACATTTCATAGAGGCAGTTAACAAAAAAGAAGAAAAAAAACATGTCTGAAATGGAGGAGTAGTAGCAGAACAGACAGAGTTCTTGTGAAGTAGAATTTGAAGGGCAAAAGCGATGTGGGAGCTTGTGGCAATCAAATACAAGGTTTGTCTATCATTTTACAGCTTGTCCTTGGAAACTTGTGAGAAGTCACTCTCTTTTTTAGTCTTGTCCAAGTTTATGTCAAGAAGCACAGTTCGTGTGCATATTACGTATGTTTTGATGTAAACTGTCTTCGAACAAGTATAGATGAACAAGATTAGACAGAATTCTGGATGTTATCTTTATAGCATTTTATAGTTGATGAGATATATGGAACCTTTCTGGATTGAATAGGAATCATATTCCTCAACCAATATTGGTTGAAATTGCAGTGGAAATGGAGGAATCACAGTGCCCTTTTTTATCCCTTGATGTGAAACCTTCTGGGAATGGTATTCTGTTTTGTCACTTTGGGCATTGAAAAAGAAGGTTTCTCTGAACTGAGAGTTTTTCTTGGACTTCACATCATCATATCTTTTGACCTTCGTGTGATTATAAATAAATCATATTAGGTTAAAGTAGAATTAGTGCAACTAATGTAAAATCCATTATGTTAAAGGTTGCTGTGGAGCATTAATGGCACTCACTAATTTAATTTAAATACTAATATGATCGTAACCATGATAACTCGAACTTTATGTATGCTACAAAATACCTTGGGCTTCAGACTATTAGATCATAGACTCAAATATTAATGATCACGAACACGAAAAAACTCAAACTTTATCAAGTGCTCATTTGCTACCATATACCTCGGACTTTATCAATAATGCCATGTTCATAGTATGCATCAATCTTACTCGCGACTTAAAGGTTGGAAATATGCTTCCACTTTAGTTCATGGAGGTTTCTACAGTCGGACTAGAATTTCAAGAAATGTCTGTGAAAAATATAAATAGTTGGAAATATAAACTTGAAAAAAAAAAAAAGTGAGAATCATGAATCATCATATAAATATAATACCAACTCGAAGTTCCCATTATTATTGAACAACACAGAGAACACAACACAACAAAACACAGTTACAAAACGTAGCCATACTGATATGAAAAAACCACTGCAACACATAGACGACACAAGACGATCACATATCAATACACACACGTACTTAAATCAAAACGGCCTGTGAATAATTTTTCAGCAAGTGGGAAAAGGAGTTCCACAGTCATTGGCGACTTTCCTGGCATTTGGAGAGTCCACAAAGTTCCTGAGAGAAGGGTTCTTGAGGTAATCACAGAGGCAAGGCTTCTGCTCCTTGATCTTGGCACAGCACAGCTTGGAGGGCGGCGTTGATGATATGATGGCGCTAATACAAGGGCTCATTTGCATCGGGTTGCATGTCACGGCTTCCACCATTGCCATTTCATTTGACTCTGACATCAAAATAACTGCTATTATTGTCAATATGGCCACCCATGAGGCCTTCATTGTTTTGTTCTTGAGTTGGAGAAATGAAAAAACGAGAGAGATGGATGATTTGGGTGCTTGTGGCTTGGTTTGGCTGTTGGATGTCAATTTATAGGGGGGGAAATTGGAGAGAGAGTTTGAGAAATGTTGTATTGTTAATTGATGGAGATGATCTAGAAGGGAAAAGTTGTATGGCTAGATCTAATCATGGGTTTAAACCTTTTTCTAGTTCAACAACTTATGGGTCGAGAGAACATTATTAGATGTAATACCATGGTAATTGCAAATGCTGTCTAATTTTTAATAGCCAGGTGGAACTCATGATTGATTGGCACCTAAAATTCCATTAATATGTGGCTGTAGAAACAAGTGGTGTGTAATATAATGGTTGAGCCACACACATCATGTTGAGCAATAACCCATGAGTTCTACTTTAATCATCATCACCCATTTGGAACATTATGGAGAGAGGCAAAGAAGTCACTCTATCCTATTCTTTAAGAAAATAATAACTCCAACTTCTCAGCTTTTGATTTCAATTATATGGGGGAAGAAAAGGATGTAGGAGTGGTCCATTTAGATTGAGGGACGGAGTGGTGGATATCATTATGTGGCCTTCCAAGATTAACATGGATAGTCTTTGAAACCTCATGCTCTACTTTCATCATATAGTTAGTTCACCATCATGCATAGTCTTTGAGCATGCCGCCGGTCGATTTTAGTTCAACTATTTATAGAAGTTTGGGATCTTGTTTTAGAGAGAGAGGAAATTATATTCGGCTTGACTCAAAGGTTCATTAATTCCTTGTTTGCTAGAAGTTGTTTAGTAATGATATTGGAGTTAGAACAACCCATTTATTCAGGAGATTTGATAAGCTATTCAAATTATAGGGATGAACTCTCTTAGTACAACAAATATAGATTTGAACCTTTTTAGCATAACAAATGAGAAGGTTTGTCGATTTCAACCTTAGACGTAAAGGGAAAGAGCACATACCAATGCAACTAAACTATACTCACTTTAGGCAACTATAGAGATGAGTTAGATACTAAATAGGCTTGTTCATGTGAGTTGGATACTAAATAGGCTTGTTTATATATATTAGTTTGAGTTTGAAGTGGTTACTTTGATCAATAATATATGTTTTAACCAATTGGATTACGCTCAAGTTTGCAAAATCAACCGTGGAAACAAAATTTACATCCATCAAGTATGAGCACTGATAAACATTCATGAAACTTATTACAGAATTCGCCCATATTTATCAATACAAGGTTCAAACTTTCACTAACCAGATTTGCCCAGAAATTTGCACTCTGAAAGACTTTGGCTCGGGGGAAATCATGAAGCGAAAGTTCCGTTAATTTAGAAGATTCAACTGAAAATAATCATCATCTACAAAAATCACACACACTCATCTGTATCAGTCTAGAGTAAAGGGGTAGTTCATATAAATAATTATATAATCAAACAGGGTTCATGTAAAATTGTAGTTTATAAGCTCATATCTGCATCTTCAAGGAGACTATAAAGTTTACCAAGCAAGGCTATCCCAGTGAAGGAAACCACCATGGCCTCTGGCATTTGTGAACTTGTAGACAGCACCAGAAACTACTTGCAAAAGTTCATTATAATTAGATCAGCATTACCAAACTACTTCCAAGTTAACCAAAGTTCAAGATTGGGCTGAGAGTACCTTCATAACCCCCATGAACTGGATCTTCTGACAATAAAAGTGGTGTATCTAAGTCGATGTATCTGCATTTGGTAAGAAACAATCGCTAAACAAGCATGCTAAATAACCAATCTAAGAATAGCTCAACAAATCAAGACATATACCCTCGACTAAGAGTAAACTCGAAATAAATAAAGTATGCGTACTTGAAACACCCGAGACCAGCAGCAAGATGACCGGAAAAGCCCATGGCAAGTCGAGTCTCTATCATACCACCAATCATTAAACTCAATCCAGCAGCCCTTGCTACTTCAATAATTTCAATTGCCCCCAAAACTCCATCTTTGGCAAGCTTTATATTTATAACACCTGCAAGATCCTCTTCCACTATTCTCTTAACATCACTTAAACTCCGGCAGCTCTCATCAGCTGCCACAGATACCCCGTATGTATCTCTTGCGATGCGACTAACAATTCCGAGACCCTCCCAGTTGTCTCTATGAACTGGTTGTTCAAACAGAGTCGGAGTCACCCCCAATTCTGTATGAATAATAATCCAACTTTACGGAAACCATACATGGAATAGCACAAAAAACGAAGAAGGAAGACTAAAGAAAATCAAATTACACAAGTACTCATCCGTTACCATGTAACTTATCAAGAACTTGAATAGCTTCCTCAGTTTCATATCCCTCATTGGCATCCAGGATGAATTTGCAATCAGAATGAACCGTTCTGATGCGCTGCAGAACTTCAATATCAGCTCTTAGATCCTTTCCTACCTTTAACTTCAAAGTCTTGAATCCTTGATCACGATATTTTGCAGCCAATTTTGCAGCATTAGAAGCAGAAGTTATAGGAATCTGCATAAATAACATGGACGAAAGTAGTTCTGTGACAAATTTCTTTTGGCTTACTCCTCACTGATATAAACAGGATTTTTCTTTATCCACATATTTACTAGGTTCATTTGGATAAAACTAAAAGAGTTCACCGCAGTTCATGATCAAAAATAAAATCTCCAGAAATATTGAATGAGATTCACAGTAACAAAGGAACAAAATGAAATGGCTGAAATTCCAAACTTACTGTTATGTCGGTGGTTATACTGTTTGAAACACCACCAAACAATCTCCATAGAGGTATGTTAATGCTGTTGGCAACTGCATCAATCAACGCCATCTCAACTCCTGCTCTAACCTTTAATCAATATAGTGATTAAACAAACATGGATTCAGAAACTCAGCCATGGAACAATTCTTCATCTCATAGTCCTATCAATTTGAGTAACGAAAAAAAAAAATGAAGTCAAAAGCCAAAATCCAATGTGTTAATTGTTTACTCACAGAAGCAAATTCATGGCCAGGAAGAGTCTCGCCGATCTGCATCATCGCTGAGCCCAAATTACACGGTGGTCTCTGCTGCAATAGTTCCCCAACCTCCCCTGCCTTCGTTATCGCGGTAGGCTGATCCTCCGCAGTGACAAAAGGCAAAATCGGCGCCTCACCCCATCCGACGCACCCATTACTCAACTCGATCCTTATCGCTACGTTCTCCACCATTTCAAGCCTCGAAGATGCAATCGTAAACGGCTCAAACAATGGAACATTCAGTGCCCTACTTTCTGCTCTCTGCACATTCACTGTGAACGTTTTCATCAAATCCTTGAACCCGAAGCTCATTCCTGACTCGAACGGTACTGTCGCCGCCTTCATTTTCACACACAACCGCGAAATGGGTATCGATGATTTCTCCTTCCGGTTGCTTCGAACCTCGAATAATGGACAGTATCTGGACGCAGTATCGGATTCCAATGGCATAAAGAACCCAGTGGAACTCATGAGAGTGTTCTCAAGGGGATTTGAATGGTGAATTTGGGGACTTTGATAGCCGTCGCTGTTCAACGACTGGATCGCGACGGAGTAAGCAACGAACCGTCTTTCTCATTGTCGCTTATGGGCAAACAAAGCGTAGTAACAATCCATTTCTCACTCCAATTTCTTAAATTACTTAGTTTAGAACTAATTTTGTTTAGGTAGCTTAATTGTTGATTAAACATAAGAATAAGCTTATAATTTTCCTTATCCAAAAAAAAAAAAAAAAAAAAAAAATTATATTTTTGATATGTTTGGAATAGTGCGGTAGCATTTTGGCTTTGAAAGCCGGCAAAATCCTCACCCTCCGAAACGAGAACAACCATAAACCCTAGAGGACAGCCATGGAATGGACTCTATTGAGAAACCTTTATCTTAGAGCTCGGAACCATCCATCTTATTTATTCTCATACTTACAAGCCTAATGCCTTTCCTCCATGCTTGGTTTCATCCCCAGCCAGGTCTCGATTCAGGCTCTTCTCGTCCGGCAACGGTTCGCCGTCGATGGAAGATTCTGCAAGTGCTCCCGAAGCGAATTTGGTGCCGGCTTAGAAGAAAGGCGTATGTTTGGACGTACAAGATGTGAGCAATAATAAAGGTGTTTTTTTATTGTCAAATCCGAACGTTCTACTTTCCTATTGATTTCTGCGATTGAACTTTGGACTATGAAATTGATATTTCATCTTTGTATGATGTGAAATTTTGTAGGTTTTGTTCGTAGTTAGGGAAATGCTGGAATTCTATCACTATTTTAGCTGATTTGTCTTTATGATCTAATGCTTCGCATTGAGATTGGGTGAAATTTTGAAGGTACGTTTTCTTTTTTCTTACTGCAATTGATGTCTCGAGCGATGATCTCTGTATCTAACGTTTCAATGCGACTATATCATGAGTGATGGAAGCTCAAAATTATAATATTTTTCCATTTGATGACCCATAGAGTTTCTGCCCAGAATTGAAAATGAAGATAGACAAGTACTTCAAAGGTGATGAGGAGGCACTACCATCAATTCTTGAAGCTATTCTTCAGAGGAAATTGGGTGGAAAACATGAGGATACGGATGATGAACTTGTTGATGAACTACGAATGCAGCCATTGGATGATGTGAAGGACAAAGAGTTTGAATCTGATTTTGAAGAATAGTATGAGACAGACGAAGAGATTGATGATCTTTACAATGCTAGGGATATAGTTATGAAAAAAATGGTAAAGGATGAATACTTCAACATGGATGACAAAAATTGGGATGAGCTTGTTGAGGATAGCATTAAGCATGGGATCCTGAAGGGCACCAAGGAGTGTGAACAGATTTTGGAGGACATGCTTATATGGGACAAGCTCCTTCCAGGTTTGCCCGTTGCTCTGCTCATAAATTCGGTGGGTATGGTTTAAAAAAACTAATGAAACGAAACTGCTGATGGACAGCCTTAAACCTTGAATTCTAGAAAAATTATGATATCGTTCGAGCCATGTATGGTGTATCTATCGCGTTCGTAATATAAGTGATCCTTGGTTGGTATGTTGTTAGACAAATGCCTGTCATAGATTGCTTTACTTTCTATGAGATCTCACATCGGTTGGGGAGAAGAACACACATATACGTGCGTGGAAACTTCTCCCTAGTACATACATTTTAAAATCTTGAGGGGAAGCCCAAAAAGAAAAGCTCAAAGATGACAATATCCCCTAGTGGTGGACTTGGACTTGAGTTGTTCGAAGCCTTGCGAGAAACAAGATATGTTGTCTTGTGCACACTCCATCATTGTTATGTTGTGTAATATCTTGAATATCTCTTTCAATAATACTTTTTCCCCCTATTTCTTGGTAATTGACTGTTCACTAGATGATACGAAGAAAAAAGTAGAAGCAAAATTCAACGAGCTAGGGGATTTGTGTGAACAGGGGGAGCTTGAACCTGAAGAAGCTTACAATCAGTTCAAAGAATTTGAAGATCAGATGGTGATGGAATATGGAAAGCTGATGGAGGCAGAAGGCCCCCCAAAGTTTGATGAAACAGATGTGGCAGATGACAAAAAAGACTTGGATGACCCGCCAGGAGAAGGGCCAATTCTTAGGTGGCAAACAAGGGTTGTGTTTGCACCAGGTGGGGATGCATGGCATCCCAAAAACCGAAAAGTGAAATTATCTGTTACTGTGAAGGAGCTTGGTTTATCAAACTACCAATTCCGTCGACTACGGGAATTGGTTGGAAAGCGTTATCATCCCGGGAAAGATGAGCTTACCATCACTAGTCAGAGGTAATTTCAACTATAATATGTTCTAATGTTTAATTCGGTTGATACTCCTCCTAGAACTGTAATAGCCCATGCCCACCGCTATCAAATATTATCCTCTTTGGCCTCTTTCGAACCTCCATCGAGTTTTTTTAAAACTCTATCTGTTCCTTGCCAGGAACAGGAGTTGTTTAGTGGGATCATAACCTATGTGGGCGGGCTGTTATAGTATCTGACTTAACACATCTGAGTAGGCAGTCACATGTCAGCTTCCTTCTGCATGTGAGGTCGAAAACCAGTTTTACTTCTCTCTCTCACTCTCTCACTCTCTCTTTCTCTCTCAAGAAAGGAATATTGACCATGAACCTCTCTCAGATCTTGCTGAACTGGCACTGTCTTTGTTTAAATTTGTATTAGCTTCTGACTTCAATTGTATTTCTCAGGTTTGAACACAGAAAGGAAAATAGAAAGGATCGCCTTGGGACTCTTTTTTCTCTAATTGAGGAAGCTGGGAAAGCCAACAAACTTGTAGAGTATGCTCGAACTTCGTATGTGAAGGAGAGGCTGCGTGTGAATCCCCAGTTTATGGAGAGGCTGCGTGCTAAGAAAATGGGCTTGCAACCATCATGCCCTTAATCTGCTTCATTGTTTGATTCGTGATGCTGTTGAAAAGAAGAATACACATTTGGCTCAACATTTTTGGTGAAGAAGTGTTTTTTAATTGGTTTTTACAAAAAAAAGTTGCACAATTCTAGAACATGTCCATCAATAGCGAAGTTTTGACCACTTGGAACTATCTTTACGACTATAGGAACTAGGAATTAATAATGTATCTTAATTATGTACTTTTCTATTGTGCTTTTTCATGAACATATATGGAAATTCTAAATGAATGAGAGGTTCCCAAGAGGAATACAAATCTCCAAAACTCCGATCGTTTCAAATTTTGAGCATGAGTCTAATGTGTTTATACTTTATTATATTTTCTTGATTTAGAACTCATATTCAAAGGTGTCCCATTGATCAATAATAGATAAAAGCATTATACGTTTTGTCTACAATCTGATCTAAAAGAAGAGTAATAGCGTAAAGCATAACATTTTCAACCACTAAACCGTCATCAAGAACAGGATACAGCAATGAGAATACAGTTACATGGATTATTCATATTCTATCGAATGCATGAAAACTAATAAGTTTTAGCTTAACAATGATTTAGGGAAGGGGGAAAAGGCACATATTTTCTTGTCTTACCTGTTTAGCGTGTACTACCTACGAGTTCCTGGTCTGCTGCTGCTGTGAGCCATCTGAAGGAAGCTGTCTAGACGCATCTGATAGAGCTGCTGCCGCGGCTGCATGAGTCATAGTTTGGTACTGAGAAGACATTGGGGTAGCCGGGATATTCTGCGCTGGAGCGTTAGTGTAATCAAAACCATAATTAGCAGCACCGGAGGGTGCGGGAGCAATGGCTATAGACTGAGGTGGATAGTTCATTTGGGAAAGACCCATGTATGGTTGCTGGAACTGATTGTGAGAAACCTGTAATAAAGGAGGAGGAGTCGTGGTTACTGCAGTCCTATACATGCTTGCAGCCATTTCTGGCATAGCTGCTGGAACTGTCTTCTGAGGATAGAAGGGCTGTTGATTATTACTATCATTGTAAGCAACTGGAGAAGCGACAATGGTAGGACTAGCTGATGCTTGCCGGTTGGGTGCAGCCATTGGAGTCTCAGCAGGACTAGATTGAACAGGCATATTGTAGGTTGGTTGATTTTGCGTAATGGGCATTAAATAGACTGGATATTGCTGATCAATAGGATGATGGAGTTGCTGTTGAGATGGTGTTTGCGTGTAAACAGGATGATAATACGATGGAACGGGGACATGCCCCGCGGCTGCAGGGTATTGGTGATGGATGTAATGGGTGGTGCTGTGGACGAATTGTTGTGGTTGTTGTGGCTGCTTCTGATCTAATTGTGAGGTTAATACATAGGCAGGGTCATGGAGCTGTTGAATTTGTACTTGTTGACTTGTCATGAAACCATCGCTTTCTGCGATGGGAATGGCTGGGACTGAGCTGTCTCTTACAATTTGGTCTTGGAAATACATGGGTTTGGACTGAGAATTTGCAGATGTTATGCTACTGTCGCTGTTACACCAAAAACATTTTTGAATGAAGAACCATTTCATAACCGATTAGAATCCAACAAACAAACACTCTAAAAGAACATGTGGAGAAGATCAACACTACCAAGAAGTTTGGCCAGAGGAACAAGCAATTGGGAGAAAAAGATCAGTCTAAAAGTATTTGAATTAGCCGACGAATCAGAGCATATGAAATTTAGATGCAAAACACAGATTCATGCTGAATGATTAATTTGCAGATGAGTAACATAATACCTGGCAACAGAATCCGGCGACGGTAGACTAAAACCACCGCTAACAGCAGGACTAACAACAGTCCTGTTTTGCAAGGTTTGCAATGGCAATGGAGGCTTCCGGAACGCCACCGGACCTCCCTGCTCCGCTCTCTCGTCGTCGTTAAAGACCCGATTGGCATTCTCGTGATTAGAAACAGCAGCCAATGAAACAGCTGCAGCAGCAGCCAACGCAGTAGGAATTGGAGGCACACCAAAATGCATCTGCCCAAATTGCTCTTCAAATCCCACTTTGGGATCTTGAACTCTGACCTCCGCCTCCTCTACACGCACACGTATCGGCGGCAAGTTGGACATCGACGGCACCGATGAAGACGAACCAAACGAAGAA